ATCATGGCGGTTAAGGCCAGGCCACCCTGATGGGGGTTGTTGGAAACCGAAGGGCGAGCTGTTGGCAGGAAACGATATAGATTGCCTTGGGTTGAACTTGCCGGGCATGCCGCCAAAGGAAAGTGGTGAAGCGCCGTGTGATAGGCCGGGGCTGTTTGTGGATGGTCTTGTGAAATGGCCAGGCTGAAATCCAGGTATGCCATGGTTGCTAGAGGCTGATGATGTTGGCAGAGGGGGAGAGAAGGGTAGCGGAGGGTATTGAGCTGACGGTTGGCGACTGAGATCTGTCATAGCAGGTGAGGGCTCAGGTTCATCATCGCCAAAAGATACACCGAGCGCTCGCAGTTTGGCCTCTTGAAGATCTGCCTCGTACTTTTTCCAGCCATCCAAATCAGGAAGGGTGACCTTGAAACTACGCTGTTCCCTCTCTTTGACCACTTCATCAAAGTCAGGCCAAGTCTCTCGAGTTTGAGAATCAGCTGTACCTTCTACTTGGTAACCTTCAACTTCCAAGTCAAACCCTGAAATATCATATCCGAGCTCTCCCCAAGACGCAAACATCCGTTCTATCTCATCCTGGCGAAGAGGCATGGGCGCATTGCCAGGCTTTCCTCGTCCAGTATCCCGTGGAATAAGAACCATGATATTCTTGCCTCTCCATGGCACCTTCTTCTTCAAGCGAGGTGTCGGTGCAGGCTCCTTAGGAAGTGGCTTATGTGTGCCCTTCTTCGGTGTTGCGGGTAGCGCAGGTTCCCCATTGGCAGCGCCATTGGGGATACGCTTATCTGTACTTTCTGCGACAGGTACTTCCGAGGTGGGGGCGGCCTCAGACCTGTCGCTCGCCGCATCATGCGTTACTGGTGCGGCTTCGGAGGTCGCCATACTGCTGTTTTGCCCCGTTTTGGGACTTAGGGAATCCCCTGGTCTGAGAGTCTCGATACTAGATCTGGCCCGAGGTTGGTGCGCAGATCCTTCTCGAGACACGTCTCTTGTTCTTCGTGTGGCTCGTGGAGTGCGAATTTCACCCTCTTCCAGCCAACCAGGTTCGGAGCCGCTCAACGAAGAGTGCTCGCTTCCACTTCCGTCACTGAACCAATGTCGACTCTCGTCGGTGGGATCGTCGGTGGTGTGAGTGCGGATCCAATCTTCAGTAAGTCCACGGGTTGGTCGACGAGCACGGTTTGCAAGGACGGCGGCGGCGGCACTCAGTGAAGAGCCCTGCGGGTCTGACTGGGATCGTAGTAGATCAGGAATTGGACGGAGAAAGGGCGTCTCGATGTCTAGGTGATGAATTGGAGAATCGTCTGAGCCTTCACTACTCACGCTCCGACGACGAAGGTTGCTATCCGATTCGGGATAAGGAGAGCCCCAGCTAGCAGTGCCGAATTGAGTGGTCTCGGGAGGTGGTGTCCTCAAAAATTGTAGAGCTCTTTCTGGGAGTCGAGGAGCTTGAAGAGTAACAAGGACGGGGGAGGACTCGATATCCTCCTCGCCGTCAATAGTTGAAGTATTCGATAGAGCAGGAGAGGCCGGTGAGGCAGGGCGGGATCGAGAGGGTGAAGCTCCGTGACCGTCCTGTGCGGATGCACCAGGAGGAGCAGCTGTTGACGTTGTAGAAGACGTCTTTACAGTAGCCTGTTGATTCGGTGGCTCTCAGTCAGCGGCTGTCAGTTATGCAGTGGCGTCTGGAGACGAATGTGTGCTCTGCGAGCTCACACATGTCCGAGACCAAAAGGAGGGAAAGGTGGTTCAATTTACTCACTCAGGGAGATCAGTGCAGACCAAGGATACGTCTGCATCTGAGTCTCGAATAGAGCCAGTCCTTTTCTCTCAAGGTCGGTCGCTTGATTTAAAAAGCTGATCTCGAAGGCCTGAGGAAGGGACACAGTTTTGCGAAACCGAAATCGTGGCCGGTATTTCTAACGGTCGAGGAAGAATTTAGGTGCGCGACGCGTTGTTCGACTTTATTAATAAAGGGGCGATCGGAATGACGGTTTGCCTGTGCTGCGAGCGCAGCGTACCTAGGTGGGAAATTTCCGGGGTGTGGAAACGGACCACCAGGGGGGCGCGAAATACCAGAAAAAAGTGCCTATCGAGAACCTAAGGAAACGGTCTCATGAAAGGAAAAGAGTGGACAAACGAAGACAGGGTGATGAAGACAATGCGGCCGGACTCATCTGAGGACTAAATTATTGCCAGTTGGGGGAGTCAAACAGTCTATAAAAACGAGACAAGAGACGAGGAGAGACAAGAAGAGAGGAAGGAAGTTGCGGAGCGAAGAGAGTGAAATGAAGACGTTGGTCTTATTCAAGAAGGAGGAATGGGATGGGATAGGATAGGATGAGATTAGATGAGAGCTTCATTCGATAATGAGTGGTTGAGATGGAACCTCAATGCTTCATTTGGGATGTACCGCCTCGTACGTGCTGTACCTCGAATTAGCTCAGTGTCAGTGCCAACTGCTAACCAGCCGGCAGCCACTTCCAATTCTGGGTGTGTGAGTTGTCCCAATTTTTATTTTATTTTTTGCTCCCCGTGACGCTGCGATGCAGAAAGATTAGCAGTAATTATTCCTGTTCAGTTGACCACTGGAACTTATCATAACCTCACCTTACTCACTTTTACAGCACTTAACTATCCCTTCGTCAGGATATCCGTATAGTACTAGACAGACAGAGACAGAGTACCTGTAAAGAAACGCCTTGTTCATGTTATGATGAGACCCGCACTCTACGAGTACCCGCATCAGCACGACGTAATTTCGGCAAGGGCCCCTAGCATCTTGGGAGAATTTCGAAGCAATAAACAAGACGAAAGATAGGAGATACCTACATCCGCATCACGATTTCGTGCGATCCGTTGTACTCACTATCATTTTCTCGTTTCTAGACCCTTTGATCTCGACCTGCACATCGGCACGATACAACCTAGTGCTGGTTGCTTCGTTGGCATCGCCTAACAACACAGCTCTACGTGATTGCTCAGACTTGCTGCGTGTCCTCCAGATTTCCAACCTGAATTGAGGGTTTTATCATGACTTGCAGTCTCTCGATCGACAGGTATGCTGAAGCTCCTTCACTTCTGGGGGCCTGGCCAGGGATGATTTGTTTATTTTTTCCCCATTTCTCCCATGATTCGAGGAATGTCTTTATGCACACTACTACCTAGGTATCCTTGCTAGGATAGACCAATAGGCGATATGGGCTTGCTTCGTGGAACATTTCCCCGGAGTTTTAGGTCGCTCCGATTGAACAACTCACCACATCATCCAAAAACACTCACAATCATCACAACATGGAATGCGTTATTTGATAGCCTTTACTCATCTCCAATGCCTTTGCATTCTTTCTCAGCGTGTCGAACGTCGGGTTCTTTACATCTCACCCCTTTCTTGGGTTGTGGCTCCACGACTTTGGCTTTATTATATACAGCCTACTCCGTACAGGACCCTTAAATACGCCGGGGCCGCCCGTACCTGGAGCTAACTCGGGCCTCCTCCACCTTGCTACTGCGTCTGGAATGCTAGCTCAGGCACGCAGCTTTCCCTCTTCAGTAGCTCCATCCAGCACTTGTAGAGGGAGAGTTATAGGTACTTCTAAGTTTAGGTACTCAATTATGCGAAACTCAAAGATCATGTCAATCTGACTACAGAGTACCCTATCTTGAACATTGTTTGAATAATACACCGATATGGGGTTCGCTTAGTTGTCTTGGGGCCGATCGTTTCATTGTGATTGTTCGCCTCGCTTCTAAATAAGAGACCAATTTCTCCGTAGTCCGCATCCAATCCTAACAGTACAACATCTATGCGGTGGCTGGTCACTACAAGGGAACTCCTGGTTATGATTCTAACAGAGCCAGATTGTGTATAAACATAATGCGAAATTGTGGTTTTGAGGCTCTTACATTGGCAATACTGCTATTTACATGCTCTACTACTAACGTCAATCGCTAGTCACACAAGCTTGGGTGCTACGTAGTATGCATTCTTTACCAAATTACCAAGGGCTTCTCGTACTCTCGGCAATTATGATTATTTAGATCTACGGGCTACGGTTCCGTATTGGAATAAAGGAAAATCGTCTCACAATCGTCAGCCGCTTCAGTATTTGCGCAAATCGAACGTCGGCGAGTAACTCAATGTTCATAGTATAATTGATAAGTGTGACCACCAAGTCCCAAATATAGAACGGCTGAATACATGCATGCTGAGATATACCTCGTATTTGTCAGAACAACAAACTACTTTGTGACAGACTATGGCAATGTCCGTGAACTGCTTGCCGATGCTACAGGGTAGGATATCTACCCAAGAACGCCCGAGTCAGATACCATGATGTGAATGCCTTAGTAGTCTAAAGTATTCACGAGAATCTCAATGGAAACTTGCAGTAGTCGAAAAGACGAAAACCGCGGACTTCATGACTCCCGGACTTATTGTAGTCCCAACTCGGACAATAGTATTATCAAGCGAATGAAGAACCCCAACGCCTGGTCAACCAACTATTCTTTAGTAACATGTAAACATATAAACACACACACATAATCAATTGCAATATGAGATCACGTCGTACGAGTTGTTCTTGATATTATTATTAGTTGAGTTTCTCGATACATATTGATGTAGAACAGGTGACCCATTATGACGCCGATGAGCTCGAGTGCAGACAAGGAAAAGGGGAGAGAACAAATTTATGTGTAATCATATCCACTCCAGACAATTCAGAAGTTGGGACGTGTGAACCAAGTCATGCAAAATGCGAACACGGAGGTTGTGATACTGCTTTAGTCAATTGCAGCCGTGACTTTCATTATCAAATTCGTACAACACTTTCTATATGAACCGTCCAAATGATATGTGTCCTAGAACGCCGCCCGCGATAACCCTGAAGATTTCCATTTGAACTGATGGAATGGGATGATAGACTAATAATAATGCTTTTTATCAAACATGCTAAAGACAAAAAAGGAAAAAGATGAAGAAGTCCGTCTTCTCATGATTAGAAGTTGGACGAGGCGTTTACAGGCGTTGGTTGATGGTAAGTATCAAGCGTCGACGCGAATGGGCTACGCTGAGGACCAGCGCTACCAACACTGTTGTACTCGGTCTTCTCAACACTGTGGTAAGGACCGTTGCTGTTGGGGCGGCTGTTGGATTCGTCAAAATCCATGAGTCCGTCGGCTTCTTCGTTGTGCTTCTTGCGTCCCCAGATTCTCCAGGCTACGAGACCAAGAGCACCGACGACAATGGCACCACCAATACCGACAACAACGCCGATGACAGTATTGCGGGTCTTGGTCGACATGCCAGAGGAGCTGCCGTCATCATCGCCATCGCTAAGTCCAGGTGTTGAGGTAGAAACACTCGTAGTGGTCATGGTCTCAAGATCACCATTGTCGTTGGTCCTCGTAACTACAGCGATGTGTGTAGAGGTGACTGGCTTAGCGGTTGTTTGGGTATCCTTCTCAGCGGCAGTGCTGCTGGCCTCCTCATCGCTACCGGCGGCAGTGCTGCTAGTGTCGTCGTTTTGGTCCTTGCTGTTGTTGGCGGCAGTGGTGGTAGGCGAAGCAACTGCCTTTGTCGACTCGGCAGCGGTATTCTCATCAGTGGCAGAAGCAGCGGCAGTAGACTCGGCGTCGTTGGTAGCCTCGGTGGGTGATGGAGCAGAAGTCTCGGCGGGCTTGCTATCAGCAGCGGTAGACTTCTCGGCAGCTTTGGTAGTAGGGCTGGCCTCGGTGGGAGAAGGATCCGCGGCAGTGGTCTCTGCGGATTCATCGGCAGTAGGCTCAGCATCAGTAGCAGATGCCTTTGAAGGTTCGTCGGTAGCCTGGGTAGGTTCGTCGGAGGCGGTATCGGCAGGTTCATCAGACTTGGAGTCTACTGCGTCAGTAGGAGCAGCTGTATCTGGTTCTGCTTGAGAAATCGAGGGCACATCGATTGGTATGGTGGCACTTGCTAGAGCGTCCTCAGGCTTTTGACTAGGGCTTGCTCTTCGCATAATTTGACGCTCCTTGAGGTGGATTTTGTCGAGGTTGATCCAGGATGCCTGGGTAACGCAGACGACAGCGAGAGCTACTAGCAGCAGCTTGACAAGCCGTGTGCCGTACATGTTGGCGGCTGTGATTGAGGAGGGTGTCGGATAGAACGTGTAAAAGGGTGATTAGACAGATAGGACCAGTTGAGATGTCGAGGGAAGATTGTCGTCCTGATTCAGGAGTGTAAATAGAAACGCGTATAGCGATCTTAACTTGCAGCTGGCGCAAACTGGATACACAGCCAAGCGGCGAGATCGGCTGCCCGTAATTAAGGTGGGAATAAATTGCCGTTTGCGAATATCTGATTCGAAGTACTGGCAATTCAGCGGATGGCACTGGTCTTTATCTGTGATTATTTGATAGTGGGTTTATGGGCCGTCAAATGAGTTGCGAGAGCGAGAGTGAGATCGACCAACAAAGCGTCGAAGTGGGATGGGATCTTTAGTCTAAACGACGGGAAGTGATGAAGATATGTAAGTAAATGACAAAGGCAGAAACAAGAGCGAGAGTGGGTGAGCCAGCGAGTGAGCGAGAGACGTCTGTATATGCAAGTCGACTATAAGAGTCACGAAAAAAAAAGAAGCGAGAGTCGTGTGATGAGGGTGAGTGGGAGTCTTATAAAGAGACAAGGGCTGGGCAAACAAAGGAAGATAGGTAACTTATGGAATGGAATGGAGAAGGACGGAGCGGGTCTCGTATTTGGCAGGCCCAGTAGTCCAGGCAGTCGAGATGCATGGATCTGGGTCGGGGTGGTACTGAACGGGGGACCTTTGATGGATGGAGGCTGTGCTTAGGGGACCTAGACGGGCTCCTATCCGCCCTCATCGCCTGCCAACCTCCTGGCCCCATGACATGGATTTTAAAACAAAGAACAATACTAATACAGTTGGAACCTGGTCCAATACGCAAAAGACCTGTTTGTTTTACCATGTAGTGATTGTTTACCAAATAACCTCTATTATTTGCCATTACCCGCTGGGAAAAGGAAAAGAAAAACACAAGCTCAAGCTGTCTAAAACAGGTGCTCAGGACCAGGTCAAACTACTGACCTTAGCCGAAACAGTTCGTTTGTGGCGGCCACACCGCGCGCTGAGACTTACGAATCGGCCAAGCTGGAAACGATGGGTTAGGTTAGCTCTGGTTACCTAAATCTCTGCTGTGAATTTAGTATTTATTTTTACGGATAAGGTTGACTGATTACAGACTTTCGTTTAGAAAGCCACTTTCAAAGCTTGCATGTTTCGCCTTGCGGCAGTTGTCATTAACCGATTCGACAACGTTTCTCCAACGCGGAAAATGATGAAGATCTATTGTTTCTGTTACTGCACGGCCGTCTCCACGGGTAGGTCTGCATGCATCAGAAGCCAAGTTTTAAGTTTTTCTTCTTCTTCTTCTCACATGTATGACTATTGACAGCAACCTGTGACTGTCAGGGACGAACTGACAGGAGACTCTACTGCATACTAAGCCATAAGCCATAAGCATGGCTGTTTGTATAACCAACCCTCTCTCACACCTATCAAATATCTCAAGTTCTCTCTTTGATGCTGCATCGATTCAGTATTTCCCCTTGAATCACTGCTCTTTCTGCTTTATGCCTATTGATCCAGAAAAGACCCCCAATACTTCACAAACCTGTCAACTGCATCAAGGTACACACGTACAGAGTACAGTATGTCGACGTCGTTGGTGGATCACGCACCCCTGTCACGATCAGTGTGAGTCGTCGTCATCATCGTCAACAAAAGGCGATCAACAGTCTTTGACACAGATTTTCATGTGCATTATAGTAACAGCATAAAATATCAAAGACTTGGCGGTTCATCATCATACCCTCTCTGACAATCAAGACGCCCACTGAACGGCTACCTCTTCCTCCGACTCACTTTCTTCCTAGGGTTCGTTGCTACGACGTCAGTCCTTCCCTGTCAAAACTCGCCTCTACCGAAATCATCACGTAAAGAAGGATCCTTACCAAACCCACTTTGCCCGTTCGTCCCTTACGCACAGTACATTAGTAGGTCATTAACTATAAAAAAAAAAGTGGTCGGCTTCTGGGGATGACGGTTGTGGTCCGACCGATGGGGAAAACATCCCTAAAAAAGGAACAAAAATAGCATCCGACCTTCTCCACGCCAATCCAATCATATCCCATCCCCTGAGCGCCGATACATACCAAAAGTAAAACTCTCCGTCCTGCCGGGTCCTCGAGCCTCAAGGTCTCTTTATCAGTTTTTGGTCGTCTCATCCGCTTCCATCGTCGTCATCGTTATATCCCCCAAGAAGATCTTATAGCTGGGGGGGAATCCACTGCTTGCAACATTGAATCAAGGTTATCGCTCAATCTCATTTTATTTAGTAATATAGCATAACATTGCATCTCCATCCTCCTGCGTGCTGAAGCGACAGCTGTCAGACGCGAGCTTTATCCCGAGGTCTGCAACTGTGATCTCTTTCTCTCTCCATGGGTTCAAGTCGGGCGCGTGATTTGTTTTACATTTCTACTAGCATTTTGGGGCCATTGCTACGCGCTCACCAACTACTTTGTGTTGTGATTCGTAAACAGCACAGCGTGCAAAAGCCTCTGTCCAGTCAAATCATCTATCGTGGTCTCATCTCATTATTGTCGAGCATGCATTGAGGATGAGGCGGTAACGTGTCTTTCTTTACCAATGTCACGTCACTTCAATTGGACCCTTTGTCGATCCTCCGAGAGGCTGTGTTCGATCATGGGGATGCTTAATGCTTAATCAAACGGATCCCCCTCACTCCTAATTATTTGTCTATGCTCTTATAATACCGAACAACAAAAGCGTAGCGTCCGAAATGAACCGAATTGATGTTTCCGGGCTGCCTCGAGGCTAAAGCTTATTTGCATGACTTTACACCCTAATTCAATTGAAGCATTCTTGTCAACTCAACGTAGATAAACATCACTGCAAGCACTTGACAGGGGCAAGTAAAAATATAGACATTAGTTGATGTTGTATTATCGGGATAGCACTCCTCCTTTGACAAAGTATGATGCGCTATGAAATAGGAAATCCAGCAGCATCAAATCAAAACATTGCCTACAAGACCATGCTTTCCGGTAATTAGCCAATAAGATAACACAATATGCAACACCTTACAGTTAAGGCGGCCCCAAGTCTGATAACATTTTTCTTCGATCGTAAAAGGCACATGCAATTTCGTGGAATGAAAGACAATGTGTGTAGTGGATGCGTGTGGACGCTGTAGGCCAGTCCCGATACCCCTAGGAAAGGCTGCGTGTACCCAAATAAAACGCCGAGCATAGAACCAATGAAATAATAAATATTTTCCATCAAATATGGTATCTTAGTGAATGCAAAGAAACGGAAAACGAGCCTCTCGGCTATTGGCTCCAGATAGGAGCGTGTCGATACGCTGGCGAGTTATAGCTGTGCAGGACCCGGAATGGAGGGTCTTGGGCATACATTCCACCACCCTGTGAGCTTTGCCTGCCGTGAGTCGGCTGATTGGGGACGGGGCCAGTGACATAGATGTTCGGGTACTGCTGAACCATGTTTGACGCTCCATATACCAGCGCCTGGTTCTGCATCATATAGTTCTGCTGCAATTGCTGGTTGAGAGTGTACATATCCATTGGCGCCCAAGCCTGAAGAGATGATTGGGAACGGATATGTTGCTGCTGTTGTTGCTGTTTCTGCTGCATCTCCATTTGTTGCTGCATCTGCATCAATGTAGTGCTGCTTCTCGAGCATGGCATACCGGGCCCCGGACGCAGCTGTGCTGGTGCCGATACCCGACGATTATGGCTCGACTGCGAGATAGCCGGCCCGGTTTGTTGTGTACCGTTGCTCGAGTATGACAAGACTCTGGGTTGCTGAACAGGAATTTCCGATTGGGGACCCGTGTTGCTCCCGGGGCTCATAGCCATGCCTCGGTTCGAGTTGCGTGACTCTGTACGGTTGTGCGAGACATGGCGACTCTGGGATGTCGTTCGGCCATAGTCTTGGGGGAGGGAAAGTCGCCTGCCGGTAGGTCGAGAGTTGATGGGGAAAGAAGGGGTCATGGAACGGCTGTGCCCTTGCCGCTTACCTCGAGAAGATTTGGCATTTCTGTTTTGCATACTAACAGGTGGTGAGGCTCTTGTTCGTGAGCCTTGTTGAGTCTCAGTCTGAGGTGTGTTAAGCGACATTCGACGACTCGCTGACAGGTTTGGTGCTGAGCTATTGGTACGAAGATGAGCCAACTCGGGCTTATCTCGTCGCTCTTGCATGCCAGGCATGGTATTGGTCTTTCGAGTCGGCGAGGCCAAGCTGCCAGAGCTACTGGCAGTTTTCCTGGGCGCCGGGCGAGAGGATCGCGAGCTTGCAGCTCGAGTTCCAGAGACAGGCTCAGAATTTTGAGACGATAACTCCATGGCGGTTGAAGGACGTCTCGGGGTTGAGTCAGGCAAGGAGCTTATTGTAGGGCTGACATCTGCACTTCGGGAACCAAACATCTGAGCGATGGACCGGCGCCAAGATTGCCGCCGTGACGGCTTCTTGACTGCGAGTTTTTCGACACTCTTGGTTGTATCCTCTTCTTCATGTTCTGGTGTAATATTAACCGTCTGGCTCTCCACACTCAAGATAGTGTGTAGAGTATCTTTGCTCGGCTCATTTCGAAGCGTTGATCGTCTAGATCTAGGCCGCGATCTGGACTTAAGACCCAGGGTATTATTCGGAACACTCTGTTCAACCACAGAGACGTCCTCCACCTTCTTTGACGACCCCTTCTTACGGGAACCGTTGAGGAAGCGTGAGATCTTACTACCTCCCCGGGTGATATCGGGGGTTATAGCAGGCAGTTGATCGTTATCGCCCTTTGACAGGATGATTGGTGCTGTCACGGTGCTCGATACTCGTGGTTCGAAACTCCGGGTCGACTTCAGTGACGAGAGGCGCATCCGGCTGCCGATAGCAAATGGAGAGAATGGCCTGCTAGTCGGGCTTGACGGACTTGTTAGGTAAGTTGAAGCGTCATCATCTGTTAATGGCAGAGGAACCTCGAGGTGGATGGGTAACCGGTTACGCGTCTGCGAAGGGACCAAAGAAGAAGTGCGCGTCGAGTTTGAATCCGACGGCGAGCTCATCTCCGAGACGTCCATATCAAGCCTTTCCGTAGCCATAGTGCTCTTTTCCGTGACGCCGGATCTCAAGCTAGGTAATGATCGGAGAGAGACATTGGAACTGTAGCCACTGTCATTGCGGTCCGCGGTCCTCTGCGTTTTCTCAGATGAGGGACTCGGGATGAAGCCACTGTCAGACCTTGTCAACCCTTTAAGCTTTTTATTTTCGAGGTCCAAGTGCATTTTCTTTGGGTCTGGCTTTGAATTTGTGTCTTCCCTTAGATGAAGAACCTCAGCAACGGGAAATGAGACAGCATTCCCGTTCTCAGACATTTGGCCATGACCTGTTCTAGATTTGTCTGTGTTGCTCGAATGCTCGGCAACAGAGCTTGGAACTTGAGTGATGACTTTTCCAGTTGTCATTGACCTTGTCTCTGCCGTGTTCAATCCTTCCTTCACCAAATTGGCAGGATTGATGGCTTGCTCATCAAAGTAATCCGCACAAGGGATTGCTAGTGCCGACTCAGATGCCCTTTGTTGTTTGACGTCATTATCCGGAACTGGGGAGGTCACCGGTGCTCCATTGGTAATACGCAGAGATCCAAATTTCATCCCACCTAGCTGCTTGTAGTCGGCTTCGACTGGCGTAACGGCTCGGCCTGAAGAGTGCGTCTGGGATGGGATTGTGGTAGGCATCGACATACGTCTTGCCATGCCAGACTCGATTGAATTGCGCCGAGATTGACTTGGGGTTGGTGGGAGACTCTTGCGGAAGCTCGACTTGGCTGAGACCGGAGGATTGGAATGGTGGGCTCTGGTTGCTACGCCTGGGGTTTGAACGACGGAGCGGCGGCGCATTGGCATGTAGAGAGAAACGTCTGAGTTTGTTCTGCTGATGGACGAGCCTGCAGAATGATAGGCGTTGTTATTGTCATCTGTTACATCCTGGCCGGCCTCGTCAGAATGGATCTTAAATTTGGAGATGATAGGCTCGCTAGGGAGCTTCTCTTTGACACCAAGAAGCGATTTGGGCTCGGCAGCTCTCGTATTGTAGCCACTAGAGCCACGCGGTACTGCAACGGGCATGCTATTTTTGAGGCAGTCAGCTCTACTTATCAAGACGTATAGACACGTTTCACAAACCTATCAGCGCGGGCGAGTGTGCGATAGCCACTATCCTGGGCCATAGAGCTCACCCTGGAGCTGTTGACGAAGTTTGGCAACCTAGGAGATTGCTCTGACTGGACCGAGGATCTTCGTCGCATTGAATCACGTCGGGATTCTCTACAAGTAGGAGTTGGCACAGGACTAACACCGTCACTGGCAGGGATGGCTATACCGAGCCCAGGCGCCACCCTCCTCGTGGATGAAGCCTTATTGGGAGTAGGCAACAGCGATCCAACAAGATACGAGTTGGAGAAGTGCTCACAATGGGGTGTCACGGCAGTAACAGCGTATGGCAGACCAGCTTCTGTTGTCTGGTTGCAGTGAGGTGGCTTGGATAGTTTCCGATGCCCGCGAGGGGTTTCGGCGGATTGTTCATTGCCCATTGGGCTAAACTGTTTGCACTCCTGGCTCGTGCGATGCTATCGGAAGCAGAAAGTAATGGGTGCTCGGAAGGAAGCTTATGAGGCTCTTCAACGAGCAAAGACGATCGTTCACTGGCACATAGACGCCTCCATGCCGTCAAACATGAACTATCCCGTGTTCTACTCGAGCGTGAGGAAAGATAAGGTGAAGGAATCTGATGTGTGAAATGGCCGTGACTGGTATTGATTGTAACTGGTATTGTAACCGGTGAAATTGGTTGGCTCTCGAAACTGTAGAGAAAGAAAAGTAAGAGGAAGCTCAAAGATATGAGAGGTGAGGAGAGTAGTAAAAGACAAAGAAGAGGTTGGACGAGGTGGAGTCGAGTTTAAAGATCCATGACAGTTTTGGCGGAGTTGACGGTTGCATGAGGGGAACTCCCGGACAAGGAGAACCTGGTTGTTGAGGTGAGGTATGAGATCCATGTGAGGGGTGAGACCAAACCGAGCAGGGGATGGATCATGTCGAGACAAGACGCGAGCATCAACAACAAGCCAGGCCAAGAACAGAATGAAGCAGCCACAGCCAAAAAGGATTAGTTGGTAGACGGACGAGACGGAGAAGAGCGCTGACGTGACAAAAGGCGCAGAAAAGGAAAGCTAGAGCTGCCTCTGTCCCGGAAGAGACGAAATCTGAGTTTCCGCAAGCTTGGACTAGAGGAGAGATGAGATGGATTATCGCAAAATACTAGTCTAGTATGATATGACGGGAAGAAAGTGGAGGTTTGTTTAGTATCGGTCCTAGGTAGGCTAGGATAACAACACAGCTACTCCGCTACGTAGCAGCTAGACTACCTACTAGGTAGGCAGTAGCTACTAGGTACCTCCTTCCTGCAACCAACAACTAATAGTAACAGGTAGCAGCTCAGAGCTCTCCTCTCCTGCTCTCGCACTAGCCAAGGCACATCCATCGATACTTCCGATCCTAATACGATTGAGGTGGGCTACGTTAGGTAGATTGGACGTTTCGACAACCGCCCAAGGGCTGATAGCCAATCAATTAATCCACTCGACAATTGACTTCGGATAAATCTCCTCGATTCAGAGGCGCCAAGGTTTCATTTCAATACGTTCTCCAAAAAGATAACAAACATCAATCATTCTACGCAGAGGCTGACTTGAACCTATGACACCAAGGGAATTCAATTGACGAAGCATATTCTCTTTGTACATAGGTACATACACACCTATGTAGGTACACAACTACGTACTCACTCAGATCATGCATGACCCGTTCGTTATTCGAAGTTACCTCTGGACATCTACTCTGATTAGGTTTCTTCCACTCAAGAAGAAAAGCTTTACGAGGATTGAGTTGCAAAGCCATGCACGTACATGCGGCAACCACAGCCAGCCAAAGCATGCAGTGTCATTCGAATGGCGGAGCAGATCAAGTTTTTTGTTTGACAGTCCCCTCACACGTGAGAAGTTTTGGCAGTGAGATTATTATGAGTGTAAATATTCATCTTGCAGGCGTCAGATCCTTCGTGATTCGAGTTTGACCGCATCAAGGAATTGAACCCGTCGGTATAGGTGTCTATAACACAGCACTGACCACTTGCTATATGACAACACACAGCGCCGCTTTTTCTTATTGCAGGCTGCTGTTAGCGGGCACGCCCCCAGTCTTTCGGTCACTTATTGTCTCGTCCTGTCTTGTTCCAGTTCCATGACGACCGGCCGAAAGCCACCGAATGCTCACTCACTGAGGATGGCTGACATGACGCTGTACAGCGATGGGCTGAGTTGCAGCCTGCAGCATTACTGTACTGCCTTGGCCCGTCGTCTGGCCTGTTGATTGCAGATTTCAGTTCTGATTGTCACCTATGGCTGTGGCTGAACAAGAATAAAGTCAAATAAAACACGCAAGCCGTCCGAGCGCCTCTCCCGTGGATACGATGCTGATGCTGATGTTGTATCATCAGAGGCGATACAGCAACTCGTGTTGCAGACCAGCCGGTGAACAACTGCCTTGCTGGATACATTGCCAGTTAATTCAATACGATATGGCTGCATCATGATTTCTTCATGCCGTCATCTCCGTATGTTGAATACCTAGGTAGTAGGTAGTTATTGAACTCAAAGGTATCCGTAACAGTCAACACCGAAACATACAGTCCAAACACACTTACACCGCGTTGTGAACGCACCGACCACATACACCGGAGCGTTTCAAGATGGGACCTAATTGACAACGTACGATGCCCACGAGAGAACAAGTTAGCAACGGTTCCAGACCATATCCGCCCACTCGCTTAGTATAGGTACCCAAGTATCGTTCACATATAGACCAGGCAAAATAGAGTAGAGCAGTGTAGAAACAGGATAGGATGAGATAGGATAGACCAGGGTTGGCTAAGGTAGGGAAACATTATGCGACTCGAATCAAGACCCTCTGAGGCTTTGGGATACTTTCTCAAAACTTGGCCACAGTTACACTCTGAACTCTGATTTGTTTATCAACGCGTACAGCCACGCCATGCTCGCGACGATGCTGTTTACAGGCCAATTGGGATGCTTGTTTATCTTGATACTATATTCTAGAACTCTAGTGTAGGTACATACATACTGTCACTGAACATTCTGTCTCCATCACCACATCTTATTTGTTGAGTGCGCTAGTTAACTTACTCATTGCCAATTGTCCACATACTTTGGCCAAGATCAGAGAGGCCAACGAATACCACCGAAAAGAGGAGAAGTCGAATTCTATCATGCATTGATTACGACGCCTTTCTCCTCATCGCCATTCCCGGCCCCTCGTAAGCATTCTGACTTGACGTGCGTGAGCCGCCCGTAAGATGCAGACATTCAATCAAGCTTTCAGACGTGACAGCCGACTATTGAAAGTAAAATCATAGCATTGCCTAACACTAGTTTCACCTTGCCTATATGGGCAGCCCGATGATGTGAGTTGAATTAGCCTGCTTCCTCATAAAGACAATTGGCCCAACCTCTCGACTTGAACAAAGCCTTGTACTCCGGATGACGTTACATGAGATGAACGAAATGCTTCCAGTGTGGGGAGGTGCCATAACTCAGAAGTTCCATCCATCGGCCGAACGAGACGAGCGGGTGTTGCATTCGCGCATGGGCTCTGCCAACGCCCAAATATAGCCAAGCGAGTTTATACCACTGAGGATGGGCTTTTGCTTCCCAGCAAATTGCATATTCATTCTATGGTCTTCTTCCAAAACGTTTGCGTCTATCAAGACTGTTCTTAATCATGAGCAGATCGAATGCTACATAGTAGGTGTGCTGCTATACCAGCACCAAGACAGACGCTTTAATCGAATCACACGATATCAACTCATACTGCTGAAGGGAATAGTATTTCGGAAAGTCGTTCATCCCAATTGAATTCTCCGGGATCGACATGCAACTGTTCCTTTTCTATCCACAGATCGTCCGACCATCAGCGCCATTCGCCTATCATGTACGGAGTACTGTAGCTTATCTCCAGATAGATTGACAAACCCCACGACGGTGATCTTCATCTATTCTGACTTTGGGTAAGCAAACCAAAACTCTCGCCTCTTCTTTCACATGGAATAACGGGGACCAACCTCTCTGATTTCCCCCGTCAACTTTACCGTCTCTCTATGACTCGGACACGGACGATGATTTCTGATCTGGATCATGTTTACATCTCCTTCGGTTCTCGGCTCTCGCCCCAAGCCTGATTCGTCCCGTCCCCATACAGTACCCTGCCTGGCATTCGGAGCTCGTTTCGGTTGCAAATTTGGAGATCCACATGCAGCCCATCGGAACCAGCGCGAATATTTTGTACTTTATCACCGCAACTGAACAAATTCGGGCGAATGGTTTAGTGGTATAATACTCCCTTAGCAAGTTTCTGTCTCCGAGAGTCTTCCTTCTGGGAGTGGTCCAGGGTTCGATTCCCTGTTCGTCCAACGTAGGTGGTTAAATTCCACCATTCCACATTTTTTTGCCTGTAGCTGGTCCATATTGAATGAAAGCTTTGCTACGTGCGTTTGTAAGTTCAATATGAACTGGAAACTTTTTTTCATAAACTCGTGTCTAAACCTCCTACCCTAAACCCTTGCATATTTTAGCATTTCGCATTTAAACAAGACTTCATTATCAATTATCATGCTGTGAATTAAAGTCAAACACAAGGCGTTGCTACTAAAACATAAATTTGTAATTCATTTCCGACTTAAGATGTCGTCGTAGGTGGGAGCATCGAAACTGTACAATCCTTCATTCGCCAATTACCATGGTACACCCACTTCCTCCGATGATAACTTCATGAACCCTTCCCGCATCAACGTCAATACGTGATCCAACAGTGTAAACCTGCTTCTGGTTGTCTTCCTCTTTGGGATACCATAATGTCATCGACCCCTGGGTGATCAGATGGGTAGTCAAAGACGCATGAGAATGCGGTGGATAGTGGGTGTTTCTGTCTCAAGGTTAGAATGAAGATGGGGCTTGCGGAGGCTGTGTAAGAGCCTCATTTCCAAAGTGATAGGGAACATGAATTGAGATGACCTACGGGGAATCGCTCCAAGTAACAACACGGTTGAAGCCCCAGGCTCGCACCTGTTCTTCGTATTCATTCCTGAAGCTCATGATGCCGCTGCTAGATGTATGTGAGTACTCTGTAGTGCCCAGTAGGAATGACAAGGTATTATAGGCACCTAGGTATTGTTGTTTATGTAGGTAGACAATGATCTGACGATGTAAAATATAGGCAGATTACTGAAATTAAGAGTTTGAGTGAGATTGCTGCGTATCTATCTCCAAAGTGTTGATGTATTTGCAAGAGTACGGTGACGCTGACATTGAATGTTCGACCTATGATCTCATAACCACGACCTCTCAACAGAGGCGAAGCCACTAACTGCTGGTGGGGGTCCAGCCAGGTACGGCTCGTCCGTCCATCGATGGATGGAATAGGCGATCATCCGACCGTTGATATCAACGTTGTCGCTGCTCCCACTTCCAACAAGCATCATCATTTCACCTGAAATGACACAGAGATCACAGCCCTGATGCTGCCCAGTCGTTATGCTGCTTCGCTGTAATTGTGGTCAAACACATCAACATTTCAACTAATCTCTCCAATCACATTTTGGCCCCCAAGCCTCCAGGATACAGTCTTTCTCTCAGCCCCAGCTCCGTGTCCAGTCTTACTCCAGCCGTTCCCCTGCTCCCCTAGGGCTGTGCTGCAGGACGCTAGCAGCCCGTCCACTAAGACCTGGACTCGTCTGCTAGCAAGGTTGTCTGCCCGTCCATCTCTTGGGCCCGGGCCCGCCCAATTTATCGCCTATCAAATGGGGGTGCTGACATCTAATGCATCTATCATAGTAGTCCCTTTTCTTTCCCTTCCCAACTTCCGTCTTACTTACTCACCTGTGCCAAGTCAGAAACACATTTATTCTCGAGAATCTTCAGCAACAGTATTCAAGCGTGATTATAACCTGACAAAGTTTGATTTATTGTTTATACTGGATGTTTGGCTAGGCCAGTGGGGCATTCTTTTCGCTCCAATGGTTCTGGCCGTTTGACTGTCGCCGATATCGCCAGCTTGAAGATCTAGTCCGCTCCCAGGAAGTACAGCCCGCCATCATGCCTCTTTGCGGACTCATAGTATGCGATGTCCCTCATTCAGCTGTCACACGTGCATTCGCTAATATGAAAATCTAGCGAAGCCGCAGCGCAAAGGGTGACAAGCCCCGGCGCGCGCGCACCATGTCCATCTTTGGCAACTCGAATATCCACGCCATAGATGCTCTTAAGGGCATGGTTCGCTTCACCACCGCCGCGTCTCCAGCTCACATGCACGGTTGGGATTCGGATACAACGCATAAACCTCCCCCGACCGATGAATGCTCCAGCCAGAACTCGAATCCACAAGCACCAATCACCAACATCCCCGATATTCATATCACCAATGAGATGTGGGAAACCCTCGACCGTACATATGACGACTTGCGAGGCTCAGAACCTCGACTCTCAAAGGCCAAATTTGCTGAATTTCTTCGAAATGTTCAGGGCGAGAGTGAGAGTGCCATCAGCGAACTGTCCAAGGAGGATTATTCACTAGGCGAATTCAAATACACATGGCATACTGACTTCTCATGGGAAGCTATTGCGCCCTTGCCCGAAAAAGACCTCTCAAAGCCCCTCACAAACTACTTCATCAGTAGCAGCCACAACACATATCTCGTCGGGAATCAACTTGCTTCTTGGAATAGAAGCTCTCCTGAGGCGTATAAGACGGTATGTCGAAAGCATAACTCCATTTCCATTCCAAGGCTTGATCGGCTGACTTGAATTCCCAAAAGGTTCTTCTCCGTGGATGTCGGTGTATCGAAATCGATGTATGGAACGGGGATACCATTATTCCCACGACAAGTAATAGGTCCACCAAAATCGACCACAAACGTGGATTATCGGGCGAATCGTTTCCTAATGTTGCGACAACTGTAATCGAGAAAGTCGAAGATTATCTTACTGAGAAAGCTGCCAACCGCTCCCGTAGTGGCAGCTTCGGCAGCCGAAGTTCTTCACCAAGATCGAGTCTCAATCGTATCCCCCTCGAAACCCGCGAGTCTGGCGATCTTCTTGACGTTGCAAAACCACCCGCGCCTCGCCCAAGGCAGTCTTTCCCCAAGGACGAACCCATAGTAACACATGGATGGACCTTGACTGCTCCATGTGGTTTTAGAGAGGTGTGCCGAGCAGTCGGTGAAGCTGCTTTTGTTGACAATGATCTTCCTATTATTGTCAGTTTGGAGGTACACGCAGACGAGGATCAGCAAGAAGTGATGGTCAAAATCATGAAGCAAGAGTGGGGACAGATGCTTGTGGACAAGCCGTTGGACGACATTGGACCGAGAATACAACTCCCAAAGCTAGGTGAGCTACGGAGGAAGATTCTTGTCAAGGTCAAGAAAGCACCAGCAAAGTTTGTGGTTCCACCTAGCACCATGGATCTGCCTGCCATCTATGCAAATGACGAGGATGCATCTGGCTCCGAGGATGAGCGTTCATCACAACCCGCGGGTCTTTCTCTTTCCGGCTCTAACAGCACCTTTCCTTCCCACACAAAGGCCTCTAACGCCAAGGTCAACATATGTGAGAACCTCGGTAAACTGGCCATCTACACACGCAGCCAGCACTACAAGTGCCTTGCGACAAAGGAAGCCAAGATCCCAGCCCACATCTTCTCTATAAGCGAGAACCGAATCCTTGAGCTCAATCAGAAACAACACCGTGAGATGTTTGTCCATAATAAGGGATACTTCATGCGTGCTTTCCCTGCTGGTCGAAGATTTGACAGTTCGAATCCAGACCCAAGCCTCTTCTGGCGGGGCGGTGTTCAGATGGTTGCTATGAATTGGCAGTATCTAGACGAGGGCATGATGCTTAATGAGGGTATGTTTGCGGATGAGCAAGGTTGGGTTTTGAAGCCCGAGGGCTACCAGAGCTTAAACACGTCTACAGAGACCCAAAGCGAAGCCACCCCGGGCCGTACCATGAACTTGAGAATCACCGTCTTAGCTGGCCAGCACATTCCAATACAGGCTGGTGATGCAGTCGATGCCTGTCGCTCTGCCAGTACCCTCCGTCCGTTGATCAAGGCGGAGCTGCATGTAGACAAACCAACCGACACTGAACGTGACGGGCATGCGCAGGAGCACAAATATAAAGATAAAACGGACGTCGGCAAGACGGACCATCCCGACTTTGGTCCTCGTGGCTCGCTTCTACAGTTTCTCAATATTCCAAAGGTGGTACAGGAGCTCAGCTTCATCAGGTAAGTCGTCAACAAATTCATTCTGTCATATATCGGGTTTGTTGAACCCGTGTCTTGCGCTCAGGCCATTTCCAGTGCTGCAAAGCATGGTCAAAATTGCAACCGCGTGTAGATGCACTGAGTCATCATGACGAAGTCAAAGGAGTTTCGCACGACGGTGGTCTGCTTTTCTTGACTGTCACATATGATCAACTGTCGTTAGAGACACGACGTGCTTGAGGACACAGACATCCCGTGCGCAGTAAAGCAGGGTGTACTGCGAATCCGAACACAGCTAAGGATTTTGGGATGACGAGTCATTCCTTGTCGCTTACTGGTGGCGGCATGGTGGTGTCTACCACTGTATCGCATACAGCATATGATGATGACTAGTGTTTATCACGCCTGTTCAGCGTTCGCTATCTAGCGGAACGGGACGAAATGTTTATTACCAGCGGCTTGTGCGACTCAGTTTGCATAAGAGACTAATGCGATCGTGATTTTAGGTTCAAAGTTGAAGACGATTCATCTAGGCTCGGCAGCTCACCATTGCTTGCCTGGGCTTGCATCCGACTAGATCGCCTGCGTCCAGGCTATCGGTTCATCCGACTCATGGACTCTACGGCTCGCCCCATACCAGGCGGGAAGTTGCTGGTCAGGATTGAGAAGACGCTGCTTTGATTTTTCGTATAGTCGATCCTTGCACATGACAATGTGCTTTGAACCCCAACTATGCCTGTGCATCGTGGTGGCCTTTCTTGGTGTGGTTGATTCACAACACAATACACGGCATAACGATGCCGTGCCGCATTAACACACTTGTTGCTTTACTGCCGATCCCACTCTCCAACAATGTTTCTCGTATATTTGCTGCCCCGGCGGACGCTGAGAAGACCACCAGGAAATTCGGCCAACCCTGAAACCAGACAGAAGTTGGAATAACAGCGTGCAACTGGACGAATTTTATTCAAAGACAACAAAGCTGTATTCGTTTTGATATATATACGTATTTAATTTATAGTTCAAAAAGGGGGTTGGTAAGATTTAGACAGGAGTTTTGGGATACCCAGGAAAGAATGAAAACCTTTTCGTCATTACATGTTGTTTCCAAGGTGGCTAGCTGATTCTATGACATGGATCAGCGGTCATCTATTAGCGGTAAAGAAACTCTAACTCAGCTTCTAAAAGGCACATGGGGCATCAACCCTGGTGGCTTTCATCACCCCTGAGAATCCGAACCTGCGGAGGACTCTCTGCTCACGCCCTTGCATGATAGTGACTACCGGGTATCTGCTCACTCATCTTCGTATTTTCAGTTTGCGGCTAAACTATTGCACGGGTTCACACGCTGACCAAACCTGGATCGATTGGCTTAGCTGCCTCCATCTTCACGGCCTAACCTAGTGAACATTGCTTCTTCATAACAGCTGGACAGCCTAGACTACCAGTTACCCGCAGGGTCACAGTTATGAAGTTCAGGTTTAGGTTCCGAACCATTGTCTAGGCCGGCCGGTGACGAGGCTGGAAAACCCCGGTAGAGAGCACCATTGCAAGTGTGATACCGACGAACTAACGACTCCAACGGGCACTGGCGTCAACCGTGCATTGCCAACCGTCGCCTCCCGTCAGGCTTGGCGAGATGTGGAAAGATACTACTGATTCGAAGTTAACGTAAGTTATGGGCTCATGTTATTCGAATCCACTATGCATCGAAGTTCATTTTGCATCGTGGTCTCGCTGGGTCAGCAGCGGTCATACCACCGCTGTAAATTATCGCCTGTGATATAGTTGCACCGAGTTTGGAAGTAACCCGTTGGCAATCAACTTCAGCTAGGATAACTAGCCCTAAAGCAACTCGATAGTGGGCTTATGTCGAGGCTATGGCGGCTAATTATTGAAAGATTACGACACATGCAGTCGGAACACGCAGGATCCGAACCAGCTTCTCGTGGAAGCCACATAGTTAGATGGGGCATTTCGATCTTGTTTAATCAATTCGTATTTGTTGTTAGTGGAGAAGGGTGGTAGATAGCAATCTGGGTCGACATCAATGCAGACTAGGGCCCCTAGGCGAATGCGATCGATAGTCGCCGTCCATCATTAGATAGAACACAACGTGCTAAGATTAGCTGGTACTAGCTAGCTGGCTACTAATCTACCTACGTTACCTACTGTAGTATCATAGTTGGCCCAACATTGAACATTAGCACGGAACTATGTCTCCTACATATTGCTACTCTTCTTAGTGTAGCTGGCGTTGTGTCTAGAAGCCAGTCGGAACTCACACTATACGGCTATCGACACTCAAATAAGACATGTCGTTTATGGATATAGGGTGAAATTTAGCAGGAAGAAGAAGAAGAAGAAGAAGAAGAAGAAGAAGAAGAAGAAGAAGTAATACTCACAATGGACAGATAGATTGATAATCGTAAAGGTTGGGGCTTGCTGATAGCTGTAGAACTTTCAAGCTTGTCTACCTTGTTTGTATAAGCAATAGTCATTCTCTCGTCATTAAAAGCATGGAAACGGAGTTGATTCTGTCTCCCCGTCTTATTGCAGATCCCTCGAGACCTCGGCTGCTCGGACATGGTCTCATTCAACAGTCGTGATTGCTTATGAATGCTCTTTGATATCCTCATTGTCGGTATGGGACTGTTCTTAAGATTTATTGGGCAGGTTTCAGGAGGGGATCAGTGGGATCATCCAGGGGTAAGAGTCTCTTAATACAGTGCTCTCGACTTGGAGAAAGGGTCAGACACCGCTGCGGAATGAAGTATTCGATATCTGTTCTGTATCTACAAGAAGGACATCATCTTCGATCAAGCGATTGCGAGAGAAATGGTAATGGATATGTAGCTTTGTGATTTGGTCTCTCAGAAGAAGAAGTTGTCGTGATTAAAGGATTGTGGCTGCACCGTGTGTGATCCCGTGATGATGCTTGTCTGTGGTTGTTGCGGGGTTTGTCTTGATAAGATGATGGCGTATGGCTCAGAACCTCGCTGGCGTGACTACTAACTAATGTCTAGTGACAGATCGGATCTTCAGGACTTCCTTGCACAGGCCACAGGGTGTCAAAGAAAGAGAGAGCGTTTGGTGGGCCAATAACTAGCCTTGATTTCCTGCCCTGATGTCTCAACAAGGGAGGGATCTAGGTTGTTGTTAAATGCGAACGAATGCATAGCAAAAAGCCACCTCCGCGTATTCTAACACTCGAAAATGTGTACTGCTTGCTACCTACCCAGCTAGTCAGTCACACAACCACTTGCTAATCTGTCCAACGTTGCGGGCTTGCGTGGGCGGATTCTGAGATGCAAGCCAACTAAGACAGTTGTGGGATGCCTCGGCAATGTCAGCTGTCATCAACAGTTAATGTAAGGGTTTCTAGTGGATAAACCATCATTGCCCTACCGCTTTTCATTAACTATTCCCAGCTGGCTTGGTAAATTTGTATCAGCCAGTTTGTTCTTTTGTTGAACCAGAGGGGCTGGATACAAAAAGCAACATGTACATGTACATATGCGCTCTGGATGGTTGGCTGACGAGATTAGTGGATTTGACAAAAGAAAAGTGCCCGCAGTACTCCCTCTCATTGGTAGATGAGCATGCAGCCCGTTTGTTCAGCTGGTCCGAGAACTTGACTGTTGTTGGCAGCTTTCTAACGGTGAGTCGTTCGGAAACTCATACCTCAAGTAGATCAACGATACGAGGCATTGCAAAAGACTGGATGTGGCAGTGGTCTCACCTATAGCATACGCTCCGCTCAATGTGTGCAAAAATTTATTTATTAATTGTGATTACTGATCGTACATACCCGTCTGCCTTGGTAGATATCGTGGTGTTGGTAGATCAATTCTCGGGGTGGCGCAAAAAGGTGCAAATGTGATGTTGTTTGAGTGGCTTTGGGGAAACAGATCAACAAATGGTTCAAAGTGTTGTTTGTGTTGGTTGATAATGCTGTGCTTGCCAGGTCTCCTGAAGCAGAGAAATCGGGCCAATGAAGAAATGCCTAAGCAAGACAATGGATGGGTCGATCATGGCTTGTGGGGGTGCATCTGAAAATCAGCACCTACCAATAGGACCCCCCGGGACCCTTTTCAGGGCGTTTCTGTGCCTCATAGCGTGTGGGACAATGTCGGGATATTGAGATACTGGATCGTCGGTACTGTAGGGAAGCCTTCATCCTTCTCAGAATCGAATCTGACTCACATATGCATATGCCCTGTGCAACGCGACTTGACAGCTGATGGCGTCACCAGCAAGGTTGCCGGTCTAAGAAAAAGCAACGAACATGCGGCATCTCATACGAGCAAAAGTCGCGAAAGTCTCCATCCAGTACATGTTATGTGTGAGTAGATCAGTACTTTCAAGTCATGTCATACAAAAAATTGGTTGACAGGATCACTGTTTTATAAGTTGTTGACCGGAGTAGCGAAATGACATCTGGGATTGAATTTGCCAAATAAATCACAGCATCCAGATCCAGATACACAGATTCGAATATACTATCAGGAGCTGGTATCCGTAAACTTGAGTTTAATCATTACAGAAGTCAAGTGGAATCGACTAGACTAGCAGTGAAAGGGGTGAGGGGCTTTGGCATGGCTACTACTCCGTACATACCTACCTGGAAAAGAAAAGGTAGTGTAACTTGCCAGACAAAGCAAGGGTAAGAGATATCCAGTTCGTTGTGGTCACCCCTGCCTAAGCGAGATGTAATGAGATCCTGAAATATTTTGATATTTTCTTTTCCCCTCCTCCCTTAGTAATCTAAGAGCGCATTTTCATTGGTAATAAAGACTGTAAAAATGCTTGGGCCTTGTTCTGCATCAATCAATTAATGTATTCATGAGTCGGAAGAACTTTGAAAAATGTGGTATAAGCAGATGTCTTGAGTTAATTCAGACAAACCGTTTAAGGTCATGGTGAGGCTGGAGTACCCTGGTATTCAGTGGGGGCCCGCTCACACTGAAGACAGTAGATGGAGAGCCGGTGATGGACGGTATGAACTCGACTAACACTTCCATG